TCCTCCTTGGACCCAACACAGGGCTCTCGGGGGGAATGCCAGGGGCCCTGCCTCCACTGTCTGGAAAAATCTAATTTGTGGAAGCTGCGTTGGATTTGTATCATGTGGGAAGACCTTGAGATTATGATATATTGAACTGTTGATTTGTTGGGTCAGGGCATTTTTTTGTTTGTTTGTTTGTTTTTATTTTTGGTTCTCTGTTGGGACATTGACCTGTTCATGACGAGGGGGGGAAGCCCCCTCCCTGGACCTGACGACAGCTCCTGTCTGCATCCTCCCCCCTGCCCCCCGAAGTCGTGAGTCTTTCCTTTTACGCAATCAGCACGCCATAACCAGTTACAGAGACTTGAAGCGGGAGAGTTCCTCTCCCAGACTCCTTGCCCCCCACAAAACCGCCCCAGGGACACAAGTCAGGCTCTGAAAGGCAGCAGCCAAACAAAGCAAATCTTTCTGGGCTGACTCGAAGCCTAAGGACACTGGTGATGGGAGGAGTGACTGTCCCAGCAGGCGAAGCAAAGGAAGGAGGGGTGCGGGTAGTTCTGCCCTGTGGAAAACGCTCTCGGGAAGACGCACGTGCAAAAACACTTTCACTGCAACTTTGTGTGTGTGTGCGTGCGTACCGAGGGAGCAGCAGGCCAGGTTCAAGACGATCACATCCGCACTGATCCTCTGCCTCATAAAGTAGAACTTCAGATATCAGCTGCGTATTTTTTTGTATTGAATATTAAATAAATCCAACCTGAGCAGTGTGGTTTTAATAGACGTCCTTTAGGGAGGCTCAGTTCTTTCAGAGCTGGCGGTGGCTCTGTGGGTCGAGACCCTTCTGCTTCCTGTGGGGCATGGCTGTGGGGGAAAGGATTGACATGGCTTTGTCACCTTCAGGTGCCTGAGAAAGCTTTGCATGGCTTCAGGGAGCTCTCAGAGAGGTGACTCCATCTCAGCACCAGTGACTGACTTTTTGAGGTTCTTGACTCTCAGAAAGCTTGCAGTTTTATAACCAAAGAAAAAAAAAAATTTATTTTTCCTTTACATACTTTGTTACAGAACAATTCAGCTGAACATACAGAAGTGATAGGACATTTATATGGAAATGTTTTTTTCCATTTTTAATATTTGGTTAAACAAAATACATCTCTGTAAACAAACCCAAGACAAGGCTCTAACAAAACCAAACAAGCAAGAAAACAAACGGGCTTCCCCACTCCCAGGCAGTGGGATTGGACCGGCGTGCCCACCTCTCAGGCACAGCAGCCTCGCCCCCCACAGGGGTGTGATCCTACACTTTCCCTTTACCTGAGCAGCTGGATCACACTGTTCCCCCGCCACGGGAAAAGTGCTGACACACGAGGAGAGGAAAGTAGCCCCAAAATATTTTAAAACATCTTTGCATATTGTGCACTGATCTGTTGGCTTGCAGTTTCCATGCAAATGGGGTTTCTCCAAAGTGCGACTTTAACCAGCATAGAAAATGTTGCTGTTGAGATTTATTTTTTTCCCCCTCTTGAAGAAATGGCTTCAAGTCACAAGCAGAATGCCTGCAGGCTGCGCATCCTGCCTGTAAAGTGTTTAAAAATTCTGCCAGCTGGTATCGGTCAGTGGAATGTGTTACGAAATAGGACTTCTTATAGAAACGTTGGGCCTTTAAAACGTAAGAGCCGTTTGCCCTTGACTGTGGGAGGCTGTGCTCAAAAGACTGCAAAATGGTGCTTGCCAGACATCCTGGGATCAGCAAACATCATCGTCCCATCGTCACGTGGCCTCTGTTCGGAAGGTGCATGTATGGTGGTCTCTCAGCTTCAAAGACCCGCTCATGCTTTGTGGCGCTCTCAAGAGAAAAATAACTGAGAAAAGGTAGTTACAACCCCTCTCCTTTCGCAAGCTCAAACACCAGTAATGAGACTTTCCTGCATGACGGAGCAGGAGGATCCTTCAAGCTCCGTCACGTCCTGGAGATTGCTGTTGAATGGAGACATCCCATGCATAAAGGAGGGAAGCAAACGGCAGCTCGCCCAGGAAGAACTAAACGCAAAGAAGTTTGTTCCAAATTTAGCGTTTCCTCCTCCTGCTGTGGAAGGCATGACTGAGCTACAGCTCACCCAGGTGACCGGGAAACAGCCGGCGGAGATTCCTCTTAGCGTCTCCATGTCTAGTTACTCTTCCCCACGGAAGGGAGGGGAGGAAAAAGTGATTCGTCCATTAACGGAATGTTTGTTGGCCAACACTAAAAGAGAGGTTGGTTCAACTACCAGGCCAGGGTCTCTCTAATGCCCAAAGGCTCTGGTTGACCCTCTGCATCTCCCGCATTATCAGCTAGTAACTATAAAAAGGGCAAAACCCAACTATTATAAAGGCTTCCCTCCTCAGCCGATTTTTGCTTTGTAACTTTACCTCTTTCTGAGACATTTCACATGATGTTCGTGATTGTGGGCTAGGCTTCTGGAAAGAGGAAAATAAAAGGGAATGAATTCCTCTCAAAACCCCTTCAGTTCTATTCCTCTCTCTGAGCAGTCCCTAAACTACGGGGTGACCATGCAGAAAACCAAAATAGATACTAAAAAAAGAAAAAAAAAACCCAACATAGCACAAAGAAACCCAAGCAGACTACGGCCTCTCTCCAGTTCAGAAACTCGATACTCCTCAATTAGCCTGTGCTTGCTGTTTCCACGTCGCCTTAGCCAGCCACATGCTGCCGAACAACCGCTCACCACATACATAAATCCCTGGAGACACTGGGGAAGAATCCTTTAGCTACCCAAAGAATTTCTTGAAAGATGACGCTGTTTTTATTATTGTTTTCTCATTCCTGGCACAAACCATCCCTAAGAAGCAGAGGGTCGTGCTGAGCACCGTACCATTCCTAGTGTTTGAGAGTGTCCTGAGAGACCCTTAGGAATTGCAAACGTTTTCACGACGACTTGTTTTGGAGGGAGAGACTTGCGAAGAGGCGGCAGTGCGCTTCGCCCTGCTCCTCCCCAGTAAGCCCTGGAGGGAGCAGTGTTCCACCACATGCGGCCTCGACCAACGTGGGGAAAGGGAGGCCAGAGGCTTCCAGACATCCTTGCCCCAAAGCCCAGTTTTAAAGAGCGCAACGCCTTCTAGCTAGCTGAAGGGCATGCAGCTCGTCCGCCTTTGCAGTTAAAGTGATTGGCTTCCAGTTTCCTCCACTCTGCCCTCAATTCTTCCCCATCCACCCCCCCTCAATGTCCTGCGCCATTGCCCTATTGCACCAAGGAAGGAAGAGAAGAGCCTAACAAAGGAAGTTCCAGATGAGAAGAGTCAGGGCACCCGTTATCCAGGTTTCAGGACATCGGGAGTTCAGTAAAGGGGAAGAGCTGTAGTGGGAGGACAGAGTCGGTCCGGGTCACACGTCAGCTCTCCAGCTCTGATGTGCTTCCACCTCCTCTGGCACCACCAGCAGGAGTTCACAGTTCTTTCCTCTCAGCTGGTGTTTCAAAAATTTCCTATCATAAAGAAAAGCAGAAATAAGCACTACTGAATGTAGAACTTCGTCGTCTTCTACAACAACTAAACCCAACTAACTCTGCAAACATGACAAAAAATGGCTGGGAAACCCACACACACTGTCTCTAGTTATTTTCTGACAGAAAAAAAAAAAAGCCCAAATATTAAACTTGCCCCATGAGATTCAACACCTCTAACCCACGAGTTGTTGCAGAACCAGATAAGCACAATCTTAACCTCAGCAGAGAGGTCTATATACATATTACTTTCCAATTTTCCAAGGTGGCAAAAATAAAATTAAAGCCAAGTTCAGTTTCTTCAGATCTCCGCGATCAAGAATCCCACTGTATTTTAAAATATTTCCAACAAATCTGGAATACTTGCGGGAAAAACACCCCATCGTTTAGACGTCCTTATCACAGGTTGTAGGAGCAGTGTACCGCCTGGTCATTTGACATGGTTCTGCAGCCCCTTTCTGCCCATAAGCTTTTTTTAATACCAAACTTGGATTATCGCCAATAACTAAGAAAGTCAAATCCATGTTTTCTCTGATATCTTTCGGCCCAGATTTCCAAAATTCCCTATACAGGAAGCCCTTATTTATTGCTGAAGAAACAGCACACCCAGGATAAAATCCACCAGAAGCGCTGCACAGCAGTTCCAGAACTGCGTTACTTTATCCCAGAAGCTCACAAAAGGCTGACATTCACTTTACCAAGACTTTAATGGCATGGTAGGCTCTGCAAATTTGCTCATGTGCAATCCCTACCTCAGAACAAGTCTAGCTGAGGCAGCAAAGCTGCTAGTAGGCTTTAGAACAGGATGGAATGGAAGCTGAACAGCAACTAAGAGCACATGAGACTTTGCAGTCAAAGTAATTACACCAACCATCTCGTGTTAAGACTGAAGAGGGGAGTCAAGCCAGAAGCACAGCGTACACTTACATAGGCAGGTGACTCCTAGCAAGCAACTTTCACTGGAATCTTCTAATCTGGAAAGCCTTTTGCTGGGAACATGCACACAGATCGCTACTGAAGTGGCAATAAGAGGCTGATACTCTTGCATTTGAGGAGAGGGCAAGGCACAGCACATCTTGTTGCACGTGTCACCTACTAATACCAGACTTGGCCTCTACCTTCATCACTAGTGACAGAGTCAGCCATGTAAGAGACAAAGTCGGGCTCTCCTAAGCTCACAGAGATCACCCCCGGCAAAAGCATTTTCCTAGCTTTGCACAAACGGGGAATAAATCTAAGTGGAGGCACAAGAACTTTATTACTCTCAAATCTTTGCTGTTGAAATTCAACGATAAATGTTTCAGCCGCTAACTGTTTAAGGACAGATTCCCCACGTCCAACAGGGAAGGATTTGAGGAGGAACAGGATACAAAAAAATCCTACCTGAGCTCACTTTCACCTCCAATCCACTCAGGCACCTTGAGTTTGGAGTCGAGGTTGTAGTAGGTGCCTCCCACCTCCCGGACACAGATCCAGTGCTGTCGCTTGAGGGGGAGCTTCAAGGGGCCCCAGCAAAGGCTGGAGGGCAGATTCATGATGAAGCCCATCACATTAGACAGGGCAATGACGTTAACATCCCTGAAAGAGTGCAGGAA